ACGTTGACTGCGATTGATGCTAGAAGAATGACGATCACTGTGATGATGATTGGGTGAAAATGATTGAAGTTTACAAGGAGAATATAATATCGATAAGTTCAGTAATCTTTATTGATTCTTTATTTGTGAACAAAGTGAGCAATAAGATCTATGAAGGAAGCATCTCCTTACCCTTCGCAGAAAATGAGACATAAAGTGAATTATCGATGAAAACAAAATCGTATTTTGTGAAACTCAACGAGTTAAATTTTTTCAGAAATAAGAACTCGAGAATAATCTGATCTATTTACGAGGAGCCATGATTATCACATTGATGAGGGCGTGGATGTGAAGTTGATAAAGAGATGGCTCACCCGTACAAGCACACTCATTCACACCCACACCCATACCCAGACAAGAGTAGATATACGAACGTCTGTGATGCTTTTCCAGTACGAACATAGATATCCGCAAACACACGCAAATAGACCAATGGGATCCGATGGGATCCGACTGTTGGATTCTTTGATCTGGGTTTACTAATTTATTTGTTGTCATACTCCGTAATACTTTACTGTTTTATCAAAACTGGACATGAAAGTATTATTTTTCCTTTAATTTTAAATATTTTCCCGTATTATTGATAATTATTGATGCATTACAAATGTAATCAATTTCAACAATAAATGTTTGTAATTGACAAAGACGTCCATCAAGTAAACAAAGACAATCGTTTAAATTGCGCACTCCAACATTCAAATGAATAAGATTTGATGGATAACATGTTGGAGATAGAAAATCAATAAATGATGTTGGTGGATAGTGGCAAATGTCCTTTAAACCAACATGAAAATAAGTTAAATTTGTAAACATTGTAAAAATAGTGATGAAAACATTTGTGGATAATTTGCTTATATATTGATCTGTGTTGTCATCATTAATTGTAACAATAAGATGTAAAATCTGATGTTTAAAGATGTGAATAAATGATGACTTCCCTAATATATATATATATATATACAATAAATTTATGAATCGACTTAGTTTACTTTATCTTGAAGAATAAGTGAAAAG